GTGTATTTTATTTGTAAATTACAGTGTACCACAGTATTTTTACATGTCCACTGTATGCTGTCTTCACTGGATGCTTTCATATGCCATGAATATATTTATATCAATGCTCCAACTAATATAGAGGGCTTGGTGTATTGAAAACAAAATTTTAATATACATATCAATCGGATTCTATTGTATAAGGTATCATGTTACATTTAGGCCTCTTTACTCTACACCTGGAATTGGTAGTGCACATGGCAGTGCATATCTCATATTCCTAAGTGCGTTTTATGTATTTTTGTTCTAATGTGATTTTTGTAATTGTGTGCTGCTCCGGGTCCTCTTAAGGATATTCTTCCAAGTGGTCTGATCCCTACAAAATCATGCATGACCTATGTCCTTTTCTTCCTACCATTTATCGAGCAAGCCAAAAAGTCTGATTCAACCTAAAATGACACATTAGGCAGCAGGAACGTTTAGAATACGAAATAATATAGTACTGTGATACGAGTTGGTTAATTTGTGTAAATGATTACACCGCTCTCATTATGTGTAGGATAAAGCACGAGACTGAAGTTATGCAAGGGGGAGAAAGACTGAAGAAAATAACCCAAGAAAAAGAAAAACCGAGGCCGACAGGTCGATGTTTTTCTGTCGAGTTTTTTTTTTCTGAAGTCTCTCTTCCCAAGCAAAACCGAGGTCGAGGACTTTATTTTGCTTATAAACCTTCTATGTTTACATGTACGTAAAATGATAATATCCCAGAATTCCAGTAAGAAATACGTTATATCATGTTTTCTTACGGACAAAAAAACCTTCCCTGGAGGAATAACTGGGTTACGGGTTTAAAAAGAAAAACTTTCAGAAGAATAAGTCCAAATTCCCATGTATATAATATGTATATCCAAAGCCGCCCCGACTTTCAGACTGCAAGTTATTCTGGGCAAAAATGTACCCCAAAGAACAAAAACATTTACCGTTATAGGTTTATAAGTGTTTTGAAGTCTAATTTTGGCTGGATTTGGACAAATCTTGTCACTTTAATAGATGCACTACCTTAACATTTATTCTATGCCTAAATTTCATTAAAAAAAAGTTAATGCAAAAACAATAGAAACACTCAGATCTTAAAGATAATTTGGATTGGTTTGTAGATAAAGCTTTTAATGGAGCTTTCGGGAAAGGCAAAGACTTGATGGCCATTTACTCAGAAGATGCTAAATGGATTATAAAACGTGGCAATGCGGACACTATAGATTTTGATAAAAAAGCGTTTCAAAATATCATACATTTTCTCATTGACAATGCCATATTTGATGTTGGGGATCATATACTACAGCAAACTATTGGTTTACCAATGGGGAAATGACCCCGCTCTATTTATGGATAATGTACATTTATATGTAAATATGAATTCTGCTTTCAGGGTCATAAACGAAAAACAGATTGCAAAGTAGCTAAAAGTCTAAACTATACCTTCCGATACATTGATGACATAACACCCATCAATGATAACGGAAATTTCAACAAATATAAAAGTGAAATATATCCCCTAGAATAAATATTAAATAAAGACAATTCCGGCATAATAAATGTATCTGTTCTTGACCTGGACATTACCATAATTAACAATAAATTTAATGTCGGTATTTTCTACAAATCGGACAAATTTGGTTTTGAAGTAGTAAAATACCCGTCAATTTATAGTAACATACCAGATACCACGCTGTATAGTGTTTTATATTCACAGGCATTACGCTTTTGAACAATATGTAGCAATAAAGAACTATTTCTTTCCCGAATAAAATCTCTTTATTTTAAGTGCATTGCCAAAGGCGGTACACAATTTCGAAACTTCCATTTCTTCAACGTACCAAGTTTGACATTTTTTTTATATAAGTATATAACCGACTACATATTGGATAATGATCCAATTTAATATTTATTTTAGATTTTCTGTAGTTATCGCCCTTGTTTTATGCCTCTATAAAGACACTTACATAGTACGATGTCTTCAATTGTCTGCGATATCACCTCGGTGGAAGCGGACGTAAAACACAACTAACAACAACACAACGATGTCTTCAGCATACTTGTTTTGCATTTCTTGTGTGGGATATTGTAACACTATCCTGTGTCGTGGTACCAAAAAGACTAGGACTGTGACACTACGGTGTTGTTAAATAGTTGAATTATGAATTACTGCCACTTTATGATACGGCCCGTGATACTAGGGTGACACTATCGTCTAAGACTTTCTTCGACTTCACGTTGTGATAACTATTTCCAATGATCAATTAAGTCTGAAACACTGTTTATGTTGTTACTAAGTTTATGTAACAAATACAGCTAACTACAAAGGTTAAATACAGGAAACTACATTATCTATGATAGTACTTTTCGAGTTATTAAAATATCCACTGTCGGAGTTTAATATCCTTTCTAACTCAGACCGTAACGGCTAAAACGTGACAAGAGCCACACACTTAATGTTAGTTCTACACGATGCTCCCCTTTCGGACCGCTCTATGATGTCTATTTCCCAGATTCTCAGCCGAGGACGCTGTGGGTAGAATGTTCCCCTGGGAACTACGAATGGTATCTATTTCCCAGCCTCTCAATAATGTCTAAATAAACTTAAATCCTGCACTTTCTTTATAAAGAGGTTACGTGCATGAGGCTTGTATTGAGCCCCGGGAAATTGGCCAGGTATCCCCTTTATCGGATTGGTCAGCTGCACAGACGCTACACTGGATTTTAACACAGTGTACTTATATGGGCACCTAGGAGGGCGGCTAACCACGTTTCTAACGCATGGGATTACCATATTTGGATTATCAGACTATGATGTTATTGCCTGATTTTAAACTAAAAGACATATTCTTGTTAGCATAGTTCTTGTTGTCACTGAAACTAGCTAACACCATAAATACATTAAAGGGACAATAACACTCTTGCTGGCATGAAAGCTCCAGAAAATAAATAATATCTCTATCTAAGTACTAGATGTTTAAGTGTCCTACCTGTTGTGTAAATTATCCATTACATCCTATTTTACTTGTCCAGAGGGTTCGAAAATATTTTTAAATCGGAGTTTCATTTGAAAAGGTTTACGTTAGACGTTTCAAACCATTATGTTGAATTTTTCAAAATTTTTAAATAAGGTGTGTTAAGATGTAATTTGTATCATCAATTAATTGAAATATTCTAAAATAGTACAATTTGTTGACCAGAATAAAGATTGGGACATACTATTCAGTTACAACAAGAGTGGTATTGAGCCTTTAACCAGAGCATTTTACAAAACTTAAATAAACTCTACTGTATATAGACCCTATAGTATTATAATATTACGTATTATATTTGGTGCAATTACATAACTTAATAATTCCGATTAGTTGCTAAATTGATAGTTTATTAACCTTTTGGCGTTATTTTATCTGGATTATCGCCCTTTTTATTGTGGTGTTTGTCACCTAAATTTTGCATTCGGCAAACCTCGACAGATTCTACGCATCTAATATCGGCTGTATGACGAATTCCGCCATATTGGAACTATTTTAAAGGTCCCGGATAAAAAATGGCTGCGGCCATGGAGATTTCTGTGGAGAGTATTATATCAATAAACGTCAAGTTTGGCATTGGGTTTGGGAAATTACCAGGGAATTATATCAAACCAGCAGCTTCGAGACAATATCTCTGCTCGTTTAGTTATATACACTCGACAAAAGACGCCATTTTGGGACTTTTTTGTAAAAGCGGCACGTTTTCCTGTTAAATTAAACCGGTAGCCGCATCGCAAATGTATGGGCGTAGGTACGTACCAATTACTATCATACATCCGAGGTTAGATGTAGGGTACCGGAATCTGCCGAGGTTTGCCGAGTGCTAAATTTTGACGTCATTGGCAACATACCGCCTTTTTTACGTCACGTCATTCAGCCAGCAGACGACTGTCTTTCGAGACGGTCCCTATTTTCTCATTTGCTTCTTTGTATTGAGTATTTGTTTGTTTTTGTGATGGGTGGAACATGTGCCCTAACTGTATTCAATATGCCTCGATTCTGTTGAATACTAAAACGTTTCTTAATTTACTTAGAGCATTTAGTTTTAGACTACCTGGTTTTATACATTTCACCTATGTGGTCACTTGTATAGTTAAATTTTACTACAATATGTTTACATTCATATTTCTTGTAACATATAGCAGATCATGACTCATACTGGCATTACACAATGGTTTCTCTGGGTTTTATTCCTGATTGTTTTCAAATTTGAGTGAAGACTGTGTCACTACATGCCCGAGACAGTACGCTTACGGCTAGCCCCCGAATCCATTCACTTTATTTGAATTGTGCGTTTGTTTGTGATTTCTGCGTATTATGTCTTGTCCATATATTTGTTTTTTGTATAAATTATGTGTGGTGCAGTCCCCTTGCACTTACTATTAAAAATGAAATGAAGTTGGGCCTAAAAACCTTAAATTTACCGTCCTGCATGAATCGGACGTTATACGATAAGAGAATTTTTGCCCGGGCGGTAGATTTTCCGTCTACTCAACGCCGATTTAGTGTTACCAAAGCAACGAAGATATGGATGACTGACAAACACAGCAACATGAAGTAAACAAAATAAACAACAAACAAAGAAATATCAAACATAAAGTCTGTTTATTTTGTGATGTAGGTTATCTTTTAATATCTTGTACTTTTTGTATCTAGATGTTTTCAAGAAGTTACATATTAATATATTGTTGGTATCGAGGTTAAGATAAATATATTGTTGCCTTATAATTATAATTTATAAAGAAAGTACAGCTTTTAATTAAAGAAATGTCTAAATATTACAATATAATTTATTATGTTAAATATTACAATATAGTTTATTATGTTAAATATTACAATATAGTTTATTATGTTAAATATTACAATATAGTTTATTATTATGTTAAATATTACAATATAGTTTATTATGTTAAATATTACAATATAGTTTATTATGTTAAATATGTTAAATATTACAATATAGTTTATTATGTTAAATATTACAATATAGTTTATTATGTTAATCCTTATATCAATCGATAAACATTACAATTTATTTTATTGTATATAATAAAAGTTGGTCTCTGTACAACATAAACCAGTTTGATTACAACCGACAATATGATTCGCCACATTTAACAACTGAAAAATACAAAACGTGGTTTATATATTATCAATAAACATGCCTTCATGAAACTGGTTCCGGGTCATAAAATTGACTTACTGTGTATATTCGTTGGAAAATCAAAATGTTTTACATTATAATGTTAATCAAGTAAATTTTAATGGATTGAAACAAATGTCTGGCGATGCCATGTTGGTTCAATTTCAATGGCCGAATAATCCCCGTGTTAACCAAAGACTTTATGCATGAGTTTACTCAAAATTAACATGACATGTTATCACGTCATTTTGTCCAAACTTGATAATTTCTAAAACAATCGTGTGCAGAAATCGGTTATTTATTGTTTATTTAATAGCTGAGAGCCAATGTCCGGCAGAGAGTTCAGACTATGGGTCTGTTAGCTGTAGATTTACGATAAGTGAATAAGGTAGATTAAAAGTATGTCTGATTTGAGTTTACTATATGCGAAAAACAGATAGAGTGAACCTTTAGTACACCACGGTAGATGATTAATAACATTATTGGGTGAATGTACTCATTTATAACTTCATGACAACGAGGGGCTCGAGTCTTCTCTGTCTTATTTAAATAAAGATGTTAAACATGTTTATATAAACAAATCAGATCATATTGATGGGTGATATATACAAATCAAGCCATATTGATAGGTGATATAAACACACCAGGTCATATTGATGGATGGTTATAAATAGAATAGTGAATATTTACCTGCACAGTATTCACCGAGACATAGGTCATGTGGACAATCCTTGTCTTCGACACATGGTACTATAAACATAATTAAAACACCATTACACACGCCAATATCAAACTACCTATCAAAACATATGTACAGCCCAGATGAGGGGGGGGTTAACACATCCTCAATACTAACAGTAATGATTAGGCTAGGTCCTTTCGGGACCAACACTGCACGCTTTATTTCGACCAGGCGGGTGTTATAGTTGCGCAAAGCAATAACTACTTGCATGGATAGCAGGCCATATAATCCAAAACTTGTGACTTAGATCACTCGGCCAGCCAACCCCTTTTATAAGATCAAATATTGGCCAATACTCTGATTAGAAAACGGTGTTATTACATGATGTTTATTATTGCCCTCACATTGTTAGTCTCAACAGACAGATACAATTTGATAAAATGTTTGAAACAGGCTCTGAACAGGATGTCATATCCAACAGTTATATTAATCACACAATAATAGAAATGAGTTTAATACATTTATAGATTTCTAAAAATACTATATTTGTAATATATAAATGCATGGGGTTTGTATAAATGATTCACTGTTTATAGCATATATAAATGACCCACTGTCTAAATACATTGGGTTTATATTATACAAAAGACAAATGACCCACTGTCTATAATATAAATCATATTTACCGCGACAAATACCATCCGAACAAGTGCCTGAAGAACCATCGGAATTGCAAAGTTTACCAGTTCGTCCAACACAGTTACCTCTAGCTATAATAAAGATACTTTACAATATACAACTGTGTTTTCATAAGATAAAAGGCTAACATGATCTTGTAGACAAAATACAAAATCTGACAAATCATCCAACATAGGATAGTGTTACTAAATGTTGAAGGATCAAGTAGAACAGTATTGGTAATAGCAAAAGGCGTGTTATTAATAACATATATATACTATTCAAAAAAAGTAGGGGATATTTGATTTTGGGAGCATAATACTAAAATATGCAAATGACTACGAAAAAAGTCACTATAGAACCTAATAGAAGAAACATTTCCAGTTACATGTGACGCCCAAACGCACCAATAGCTACCGCATGGAATTGCATGTGATGCTTGGGATCATCATGGGGGTCCAACCCAAGATTTGCACGACTCTGACTTTGAATGTTACAGTCATTGTGGCATTGAATTCCAGGGTGGAAACATCAGTTTAATTGTTTTAGTGACCAGAAAACAAATTTTGATATGCGTCGGCTTACCCAAAATGAAAGGTTACGTGCCCTTGGCATGCTACAGATCGGCACAACACAGGCGGTTGTCGCGCGGACGATGAATGTTTCTCAGTCTGTCATAAGCAGGCTATGGTCCAGATACCGTGATACACAATCTGTACAGGACAGACCACGCTCAGGTCGACCAAGGGCGACAACTCAATCCCAGGATCGATTTATCCGTACCTTGGCCTTGAGAAATCGTGTCATCACAGCAAATCAGATCAGCGCTCGTCTTCAAACAGAAACTGGTGTGAGAGTGAGTGGCTAGACGATTCGGAATCGACTGCATAGGGGTCACCTTCGCGCCCGACGTCCTCGCGTGATCCCTTGTTTGAGAGATCATCACATTCAGGCAAGACGTCGTTGGTGTAGGGATCGTACTGGGATAATCGACGCTGGAGCAATGTGATGTTTTCAGATGAGTCAAGGTTCACTGTTGATTTTTTGGACAGACGTAGGAGGGTCTGGCGTCGTCGAAACGAGCGCTTCCAAGACGTTAACGTCATCAGACATGATCGATTTGGGGGTGGTTCTGTTATGGTGTGGGGAGGCATCACTGTTGCTGGAAGAACGGCTTTACATGTTGTTGCAGGGCGTGTTACAGGCCAGTACTACCGGGACAACATCTTGGCAGTCCATGTTGTGCCGTTCGCACGACGTCATGGCCGCCGTTTCATCTTCCAGGATGACAACGCAAGATGTCACAGGGCCAGGATCGTTACAGGTTACCTCCAACAACAGAACATCACCACATTACCTTGGCCAGCACTGAGTCCCGACCTCTCCCCCATCGAGCATGTCTGGGACATGCTTGGACAGAGGTTACGTCAACGTCAACAACGTCCTGCCAATGTCCAAGAACTTGCTGCTGCGTTGCAACAGGAATGGGACAATCTGGACCAAAATGACCTTAGACGTCTCATTAGGAGTATGCCACGTCAGATCAATGCTTGTTTGGCAAATAGAGGAGGATTTACCCGTTACTGACTTGGTTGTGATGCTGTGGTAACTTTGCTGTTTGACCCCGGGTATCATTTTACCCTTATAATGGTCAGTCTGTGCCTTACTTAGTCTAACGATCATTTGGAATAAATCGATGAATGTGAACTTCATTTCATTTTGTCATTTGTTTCTTCGTCAGTTTCATTAGGTGACTTTAATAACACTTAAAAATCAAATATCCCCTACTTCTTTTGAATAGTATATCTATATTATACTTACGTCGACACGTGTCATTTACACATTCATCATAAATCGTACAGTTTTTACCTTCCCCACATGGATCACCTGAAACAATTGAACTATTAGAGTACTGGACGCTATTACAATACGTGTGGTTTATTTACAGTGTCTCTCACCTAAGCTTAAACATAGATATATCTATATATAGTTTGCTTTATGTCGTTACATTGATGATAACAGTCCAGTTTTCATAGATATTTAATAATCAGTGTATATCGGCATTCATTTGTTCATATAATTCATAAAATGCTAACATGAACTGGTTCTATGAATGTAGATCAAAACTAAATATTATCAAATTATATAATATTGTAAGTTAGTAAAACAAACAACATACCAATAGGTTTACATGTGCCATCTGGTATGCTACAACTGTCACCTGAAATATAAAACATGTATATATAATAAAAATTGAACACCACATTAACGGTAAACCTTTTGTGGGTGGCAACTCTAATTCACGGATTGTGTTGAAACATGTGATCATCATATTAAAGATGGACATGCCCTGTTTTCAGATTGTATCGTGAATTGGTTATGTAATTTATTAAATCGTAGTTACAATATAAACAGTTTGTCGTTTTTACCGAGATTTCAATATTTTTATGAGGTCTTGACAATATTGGATAGTTTTGATGATACTTTTCACTAGTTTTATTGTATTTGGTAATCTTTTGAACTCGAGTTCCAATTCAACTGTATTTAAAGTTAAGGGTAACGGTCTAATGTCATTTGGCTGTTTGTAAGTTCGTTAGCAATTCCATTTCGAGCTACAGTATACACAAGTATCATCAGCTACGGTAATAAAATGGTATATAATAATTAACAGACAGGTAACATGTTTTACTTACCGTAATCTACACACGTACGATCAATGCACACTTTGTTAGTACAGGCTTGACCACCACAATTGTTAGCTGCTAAATACAAGCAAATTACAGTATAGATGATGGACAAATTAGATATTTTAGTTCCGGAAAAAATATGTTTTAGCCATATACTTATTTACCTATTCAGAAATATTACCAAGCGGTTGACATGCACAATACGCCCACATTTTGCAAGAGATGGACAGAGGACAAGAGATTTTTCGTACAACCAGGGGCCATAATCTAGGATGTTACATTGTTAAAATTATATGTATATTTACAGTTATAAAAATAGTAAAAATACAGTGTCGGATTTATCAGATCACATGGTTTGTTAACTTTAAAAAGTGTGTAAATGCATATAAATTTTTAAAGCTTATTTTTGTGCAAGATTACACCAAACGTGTAGATACACAACTATATGTCAGTTTACAAATGAAATGAAATGAAATGGGGTTTAACGTCCTACTGTTCTGCTCCTAACCTGGGCTAATGACGACGGGCATACGCCATACAGTGTGCTATGAGGGAAATATTTTGCCCGGGCAGCGGCGCTACGGTCTACTCTTATATCGAATTCCAATTGCCAAGGGATACTTTACGTGCACGCCAATGTGTACACGGGACCTCGGTTTTTCGTCCCATCTGAACGACTAGACAGCTGTCCTTGTCAGGCCCTCCGTCCTGCATCACTGACAAGGGGGGGAAACCACGCCGGAAAATCTGTATGAACTTTCTCGGCCAATGCAGGGATCGAACACCCGCCCTCAAGGCTAGCGAGTCAGCGTCTTACCCACTTAGCCACGTGATCCCCGTCAGTTTACAAAATGTGAGCTGTGTATTAACTGAAATGCCATTTGAAATACTATTTATACGGCAAATTGTAAATTTACTGGCAAATAGTACATCGGTTATCCCCCTTTGAACATATATAGAATTTTGTGCAACATATTTACTGACCTGTCAATCAGTTTACTCAATCTTAGAAAAAATAGGTTATTGAAAATCTGAATGCACTTAATAATACTATGTCATACATTGTGTTGTGTGGGACATTATACTTAGACAGTGTCATCCCACCTACTCTTTCCATCTTCTAATGCCGTTTTACATGCTCGACTGAAAGGTCCCCAAAAATTCTGTGTTCGCAAGGATCGAACCTAACACTACTTAGTCAAGTGGGGACAGTCATATTCCCTTTACCACAAGAATGGTAAATTTACTTGCAGAAATATTTCAATTTGTAATGTGGTATAATTACACAATATTATTTTAACAAGTGTATATAAATTAACTTCATGGTGATTTTACATGTATACTTTAGCTAGAGGTAAAGTTATATTATAGACTGTGAAATAACATGCGATGCTAAAATACAGTGCTTAAAAAGTAAAACAAAAAATACAGAATTTTAAAAGTGTACGGTCCGACATGCGACTATAATCCAGGAATTTGCGGTCCGATATGCGCGAATATTGACAGGGACCGAGAACTTTCGGATATACACATACATTTTAAGTTCCATTAAAATCGAATCAAAATTGTGACCTCTCGAGGGTCCACAACCTTGTTATTGAATACTTTTGTACTATTTGAGTACAAGGAGCGGCCTATTTATCATATTCATCCGTCATTATCGTCTAACAGTGATATATTCGAACGGATTTTTAAATCGGATAAAAATTGTGACCTCCACAAGCTAAAAACGCGACTTTTCGATCAATCAGGAGTCATAATCCAGGAAGTTACGGTCCGATATGCATGAATATCGAAAGGATCTTTTACATGTTTTATCAAAATCGGATAAATAATTGTGACCACAAGCTAAATACGTGATGTTTCGTGCAATCAGGGGCCATAATCCACGAAGATGCCGTCCGATACATGCCAGCATCGAAAGAAACCGAGATCTTTGGGATATCAACCTATATTTTAAGTTTCGTCAAAATCCGATAAATATGGTGACCTACGGACAGGGGCGACGATAACATATACGTCCACATGAAAATACGGGTGTATACAAATGATTAAGGAATATGTATAAATAAAATAAAACCAAATACGAACAATCCAAACCATAAGACAGAATTCGAAGTCCTAAAAAACGTTATAGGCAAAATAGTGTATTCAAGCAAAATAGTGTAATCAGAAAATTGACTGCTCCTCGTGTACAAATTACACGACAAATTATATGATGGAATTTAAATTTTATCAGTAAATACCTCATTATAAATTCCATATAATTGTATTATGTGGTATACAACATTATACTTATTTCAGTGTTATTTGGATAATATATGACTGGCTTGTTTTAGAAGACTAGGTATCTTACCATCGGGGGTAAGGCATTTAACTGTGTAACAAGTACCACCTTTAGCATTACACTCTGTCACGTTACATACTCTCACTGTAAAATAAATATTATAGTATTTTTAATATAAACACGTATTAGATACGTGATATCTTCCCCGTCTTTAGAAATCAGTGTGCCCTGGATGTTAATCGCAGCATATGATTCACCAAAAGGTACAGTGATAATTCAATAGAGAGACACAACTCACAACACATTGTCCACGTAAACATTTCACATTCAATCTAAAATAATTAGTGTTTGTCCTTCTTGTTTCTAATATATTTACTTGATAGGTTACCGCCTAAAGTTTAAATCTATAGTTGGGTCCAAATTCTAAATCATCCGTTACTGCATTAATTGAAATTTCTAATTCTAATAGCAACTTAGTTTTATATACGTCTACAAGGTGGCTTCCATTAATCAAATGTAAATATGATTTTTTTTTCTCACCCTCTTTAACTGGTGTTGTGTCATCAGAATCTGAAATAGGAACAAAATCCATGTCAACGTGGCATTTTAGTTAAAATGTAAATATGATGTTTTCTCGCCATCTTTAATTGTGATTGTGCTGCAATTTTCTAAATCGGTGAAACGTGGCGAAAAAGGCTGCACAACAGCTATGTCTCGAAAAATCACAGAAATCAACTGATTGAATCCGTCTGATTCGAAAGGAAAACTTGAAGATATTGACAAAAGGGGGCGCTGTACACAACGACCAGATAGATGACTCCAATCAGACTGGGTATCAGGTCCATCGAATTATAATTGTAACACCTAGAGTGGTCCACATGATTTTTTAAAATCGATTAAAGGAGATAACTCTGATAGTACCGTTCGTCTTATGAACATAAACACTGTGTATGAATATCAAGCTAACGGAAATAAATCACAATTAAAAGCAGGATTATTTGTCTAAAATGTGTGACGGACAGACAGCCGAGCGATCAAATGGTATTGGTCCCCTGAATTCAGCTAAAGGCGACAGTAGAGCAAACATAAAATTCATCCTAGTTTTTCTCTGCGAGCATAAAACTTTTTTTACAGTGTAACAATATATGCAAGTTACTAAGGGAACAAGTTAGTGCCAGCTTACCTTGGCAATATTCTCCTATAAATCCAGGAGGACAGCTACAATTCACACCAAATTCTGATGGATAACACGTGCCATTATTTATACAGGGGTTGTATATATCACAGGGATTTACTAAAATTAAATTTAAACATACATTATGCAAGAGCTAAATCTGCCTATTGCAGGTCTTTCTTTAGATCTGAAATGTTATCTAAATTATTAATTATACATTAATTAACTTATCCAGGCCATAATCAACTCTCGATGTCAACGCTAGCCTGAGATACTTATTGCATTAGGATCCGAATTGCTGCTCAATTTTCATTCATGATTTAATCATTAAATGGATAATCGAGACTATGTTTTTTATCGTACCGACGTTAGTAATGATGGTAGAGGCTAGTCCGAAAATTCAATCGCTCAAATCTCGGTTCAGAGTGGATCAATTTGACTGAAATTTTTAGCAAATTCCCCGTACATTATCTAGTTTTTAACTATTATAGCGAGAACCGTCAGCTCGTTATCTATTCTCCAATAATGTATCTTTAAGAAATGTAGACCTCATGGTTTATTCCCACTAAGGCGCAGTTATTGGCCGTAACGAATAAAGGAGGTCGTTTTCGACGCCTTCGCCGGAATCCAGCATTAAGGGATTAAAATGGATTAAAAATGTAACAATGGAGTTTTAGATTGTTATGATAAGAATTTACACTTTCATAGTCCCCAATGTGACTAATTAACTAACATTTTAACATGTTTGGCATATGACTTTATGAAATAAAGCACATTAATTTAATTCGTCAAATAAGATACCCTGTCTAAATACACGACTTTGGATTTGGGCATATTTATATCTCTTCCTTGGTGGCTCCTGTCCGTCGGCATAATGTACGATTCTAATTTCATTAATTTTTTGCTTTGTTGCAAAAATGCGATCATTTCAAAAACATTTGTGTGAGCTTTAACAACTAGCTTCTTGATCCTTGAATGCCATCCTTCCAGGGTGTTGGTTCTGTGTTGCCCTGCGTGGTAGCATATTCACCCTCGCCCATTGATTTGTTACTTAGTCGGCCAATTCAGTTATTTTAGGTTCTGATTGAGAGTGAGCGATATGTGAACACTACTTGGATGATTTGATAATAATCATCATTAGTTGCCAATTGGTGATTAAGATTCATATTGAATACTTGGCTGATTTGGTGATTTTCATCATTAGTTGCCAATTGGTGAATAAAATTCAGAGTGAACACTACTTGGATGATTTGATGATATACCAATTGGTGAATAAAATTTAGAGTGAACATAAATTCATAAAATCTCTAACATCGTTAATTGGGTCCTAATAACAACATGTCTCTCTTCAAACGAAAGTCGACAAGTTCATTCCCATACCGCCGACTCGCCGAGTTTTAGGTGAAAAATTTTGGTCGGTGTTAAGGGGTTGAGTGGTCAAGAACAATAGACCCAAGCTGAAGGATAAAACTAATTAAGCAGATAATTTTTTTAAAATTTATAATACCCTTTAACACATAACATAACACATAATTTTAACTTTTTGCACGCATAAAGTGTCCAATATAGTCCAAAAATTCTAACAAATTCATTCTTCCTTGTTTATATCTATGTTTCGAATGTGAGTTGAATTCTGACAAAATTCAAGTTCGTATAATTTAAGTGAAATATATTCATTTTATTAATTAGTGAGTGGGTTGAATTCTGATAAAAATCAATTTAAGTGAACTATATTAATAATGACTGGTCCCTGCCTCATTAACGCTTTTAATCCGTTTTTAACACATCAATGAGTGCCGCGGTCGACTTTCCAAATTCTGGTGAGTCGGCGATATGGGAAGACCCCATCTGCGCCTTCGTGGAAAGGATTAATTTTGGTCACGCTCTGTAACGGCGCCGTCGTTGGAATACACCGACCTCACATACGTTAGTAATCATGTATGTGAGACAGTGAGTAATCATAATTCTTATGTTAGTCCGGCGTCAAATAAGGCTACATCCCCAGTCCTTTCGGGCTTGATTTGTTCATAATGAACGTGTTGGCTGGTCAATCAAGGCTGGTTAAATTATTATGAAATAAAGAATGTACGTAACTTACCGTCACAGTTTTCTCCTAAATATCCTGTAACACAATTACAGCTGTAACCGTTATCAACTGGTGAACAAGTACCATTATTTTTACATGGGTTAAGTAGACACACATTCACTACAATTAAATATGCTCACTATTTCCCTATATTTAATTTTTGGAGTAATAATATTTTGATTTTGCTTACAAATACGAAATTATAAAGAAACGGTCTTAGCAACCACAATGATAAACAAAATCACGTGGTTTAGCTACACGTACATCACAGAGTAAAAATACACAGAGTGGCGACTGCTTCATTTGCATACAAAATAGGTCGCGCACTGCATCTTGGGGTGTGTCTGTAATGTCACTAAACATCACAGAGTAAAAATAACCAAATCTCGTTAATTTCGTAGTTTTATAGTATATTCGGTAACAAAACTACTGAGAATTATCACATACAATCATATGTTAGTTGTGTGTGTGTTTCGGGAATTTATAAAATAGCTCGGACCGGGGAGTAACATAGGCCAGGTGGCGTTAGTCTACCACTTCCGGTTTCAGAGTTATGACCCCCGAGCGAAGCCGGGTATCCTGCTAGTAAAATAATAATTTAAGAATATTAAAATTGAATTTCAAATAGGCCTATAACGTTTTCCAATTATAAACAGATTTGAGCCGTTGGTTGTTTTCCAAGATAAAATACTCTTGGCTCTAGCTCCTTTAGGAATTGTCTCTGATCGGACTATGTCCGCTGACAGTTCCTATCGCTTGCTGCAATATGAAAATAACATATGAATCTAAATCTATTTTATTCAGTAGACTTGCGGTACGTAGGCCTATTAATTATAGAATTAAAAAGAACATGTGCAGCTAGTTCAGACTTAATGGGTAAAGCTTACTATTTAAAGTTTGATCTTTTAAAAATCACAACTAAACGTAATTCTAAAATTACAAAAATACTGTTATGCTATTCAAAATCGAATTTCCCCTTTTACTGGTAGGCCTTAATCCGACCAATTAGATATTTGCTGAAGCACTATCAATAATTTTAAACCATTCAGTAATTCAAAATATAATTTTAATTTACTCTGTGATTATCTATTATGATGTAATGGTTAACTTCAGTTTGTATGGCAGATAATTCCATAATAGAACACAGTATAAATTAAATTTTCTATTTCTAAGTAATCAGTTGACAAAAAATCACAAAAATAAAAGTAACTAGAACGTTTTTTAGGACTTCGAATTCTGTCTTATGGTTTGGATTGTTCGTACTTGGTTTTATTTTAAACAGACCTAATGGCATGGATATCTAGAGCAAACTTCAGATTTATAATAATTTAATATATTCTTGTGCAGTAGTGTAAAATGGACAATTTCATAGTATTTGGGGGCCTATAAAGGCTGTCAAAACATTACATGACACCCAGAGCCATATTCAAAATATTCATTCTCAAGTTGTTTTTGGTTTATACTTGTTTGTAAAAAGAGAAACCAATCAACTCAAATAATGTTTATTGAAAAATGATATAGGCCTATTTAAAATAGAATTTTAATATCTTTAATTATTTAATTTTTTAAAAAATGAAATCCTACATTAATTAATAGAACAAAAATCATAAAAAGCACACGGTGAGTCAACGTTGGAGCCAAAGGTATTTATCTTGGAAAACAACCAACGGCTCAAATCTGTTTATTGGTAAAACGTTATATGCCTATTTGAAATTCAATTTTAATATTCTTAAATTATTATTTTATATTTTAATGAAAGCTTACTTTATGAAGATAACATAAATAAGAGAAGCACACAGTAATAAGCTCTAGAAGACAAAGGAATTTTTCTTTGGGAGAAAAATAAGTCATGTTGATGTTCAGTTGAGTAAAATAGCTAGGCCTTATCCAAAAAAGGGCGTGGTACTCTGACATTTTCAAATGGCCCATTTTAAGGTGTATGGAAATTACATTTCAGATCTAGGAATGGAAACAACAAGTATTTGGTGGAATAGTTTCAAAGTTAATAAAACCTGTTAAAAATCGACAATGATTTACGGCCTTAAATAGACCAATTCGTAAACTGTCACAAATGCCGTCTCTCGTCCCAGCCTTACTTCATTCCGGGCCGTACCACGCTTTATGCATGTTTTAAAAATATGAATCATGTTTTATAAATTCCCGAAACACACACACAACTAACATATTATGATTGTATGTGATAATTCGCAGTAGTTTTGTTACCGAAAATACTATAAAACTACGAAATTAAGGAGATTTAGTTCATCAATATAGATATCGTAACGTCGTTGAGCGAACTGTCAGTGTGTGTTTATTACAGACAATTCCCAAGATGCATTGCATTGTGTTCCTATGGGCCGTAATGCGAGTTGCCACTCTGTGTATTTTTACTCTGTGACGTGCATATTCGAAAGTAAATTAAAATGATGACATATCTATTAAAAATAATTTCTGCAAATTAATACACGTGATTCACGAATTAATTAAACTTATGGATGTAGGAAAGTCAAGGCATGTACATAAGCATGTGTTATAGTATTTTGCTCTACCCAGTTACTAAATGCCCCATAAGGATTAGAAACGAACTGTTGCATTGTTATTTCTGTGCGTAACCATAAACTGAACAAAAGAAGAATAAATTCACAACGTGGGATATCAGTGACATTAAAAGATACGTCTTAACGATGCGTAAAGAATCACAAATATAACCAGAGACAATACTAGACGATCACAAGGCTCTTAAAATATGTGGCAGAGGAGGGAGTATGGGTCACACGTTGGATGTGAGATTTATTTTGGCATGTTTGACTTTCCACATCAAACCAGCGACACATATCACTGAATAGTTGTACATCAGTAACTAAATTTGCATTAACAAATCAGAAATAAGCGGTTCCCCAAACGCCACGTCTATCCACTCGACACAAACTGTGTCATCTCGGGACTAACATGGTTCAATTTTATTTCAATAATTCGCTTGCGCGAGGAAACCGGAGGACCCGGAGAAAACCCACGGGGTTGGACAGGCGACCCTACTCCTTGTCAAGTACAACTGGGGAATCGAAACCACGTCAGTTGACTCAATGTCAGTACTTATGATACAACTGGCACGCGCTAACCATTCGTCGACCCCCCCCCCCCACGTCTTCCGGTCCAACGAAGTCAGTATTTAGAAATTGATATCGTTTAAAGTTGGATTTGTAAATAATACAGCTACGAAATGATCAATTTAGTGACATTGGGGGTGTATAAGAATTAAATAAAGTCTAGTCTCCAAAAAAACGGATGGAGCGTGTTACAGTTAGTGAGAATTGTGAAATAATCGGAGAAGAAAGGTCTTCCCTGAGTCGAAACAAAATGGTGCGTGACAATATTATCCGGTGCCATACATTGTATATATTGTCAGTATGCTAGACAAGATTATGTAAGAAGTGTTAATCTATTCAAGTACCTGTGGTCCAGTCCATCTGTACAGTGTAGTCGAAAATAACAAATCTTTAAAACTAGAAAATAAATATTTAAATTTTTTAAAAATACTCACTTTGGCAGCAGGATTCACATAGATCAGCCCTTCGTAACGCTGAGCAAATGTGGCATCTTGTCTTTTTCACCCAACCAGGTGGTGACCAAGGCCTTCGGCTCTTTTTTCCAGAAACAGTAACAGCAATCAAGATCAATGCAATCAAGAAAATAACACGCATGATGATAATACTATATTACTATACTATACTATAGCTCAAGAGTACGTGAAACAATTAGACTGCTGAACACAGAGTTTATCGTTTGTTTTATACATAAATACCTGATCACAGGTGTTCTATTGTACATTATGTTGTTTTTTGTTGTTTTTAAAATGTATCAGTTGTTTGAAAATAAAATCAGTAAGTTTTATTTGGTCGTTAATTTTAGATCTAAAGGTTTTAGCAATCAACTTCTTGTCGACATGTTACTTTCATTTTATCGTTTGTTTTATACACAAATACATGATCACAGGTGTTTTATTGTACATTATGTTGTTTTTGTTTTTAAAATGCATCAGTTGTGTTTGAAAATAAAATCAGTAAGTTTTATTTGGTCGTTAATTTTAGATCTAAAGGTTTTAACAATCAACTTCTTGTCGACATGTTACTTTCATTTTAAGGCCGTTACAAGCTCAGAGCAACGAGGGGGGGGGGGGGGGTGCGGGAAGTGTTGTCAGGGGTGCTGTAAAATTGACGGACAATATTTTTTCTATTGTTTTTTTTGGTCGACAATTGTTTCACAGGATGGGCGAAACTTTTTGCAGGGTTGGCTCCGCCCCCCCCCCCCCCTTAGTTACGGGTCTGGCAACAACCGAGAACTAAATGAAATGAGGGAACTTTTTGGGACGGCAAGGTACATAGCCACACACACACGGGTAGGAAATGTCACCGAATTCGTGCGTTATAATCAACCATTTCCGATATGTTCTGTTTTTGCATTGATGAGGGAAGGGTTGCCTACCCACCCAGCACGCCTCTGTAAATATGTTTGTATATTTGGATATCGGCTAAAATCGATTGTAACACGTGTTTAAATATTTATATCCTCAACAGTCAAATATCCTAGCTAATGTTTGGTTAGCATATCCAATTACCAGGAAATATAGATTTATTATATATCTTTCCCTATACTTCCACTGTACAAACTGTTATAGTCCCTTGAAAACTAGATATACTATTGTAAAAATGGTTCATCAATCTCTTCTAGGGTTACTGCCATTTTTATGTTTCGCGAAATCTATGAGTTATTGTTGTTTATTATAAAAAAAAAACGTTCAATACATTGCAATAATATTATAGGCATGTTGATTTAATTAAGTTATATACATATGAAGACGTAATATAAAAAGTAAAATAGGTAAAACAATCAAACAAAGTTCTTGTATATCAAAATAACACTTTAAAACACGATGTGGGAAGAGGGGACGGATCATCTTCTCCATTCGTCATAATAAAATCAAGTTACAACAGGATTGATGATTGGTATCGTCAATTCAGATAGCAAACTCCCGTGGGGAATTGAGAGTCATGGGTAGTCTTTCAACTTTCACTGCGTTTTATATCACACGTGTAATATCGTACTAACTCAAGTTACCCAATCTCTCGATCATTCTATAGACAATCGTAAATTTATACTGCTTTTAAGAGTAAATGGCCAAATGGTTTGTGTGTGCGGGTTTTGTCATTAGGTTTGGCATTGAGTCAACTGGCGTGGTTTCAATTCAATTCCCCGGTTGTACGTGACAAGGAGTAGATTCGTCTGTTCTATCTCGTGGGTTTTCTCCTGGTTCCCCGGCTCCCCCCCCCCCCACTGCTAAAGACACATACGCGCAATCGACTGTAAAAGCATCATTGACAGTATACGGAAACGCCACCATCTGGGCAAAATCTCCCTCATAGAAAACTCATCTGCATTATCCCGGTTGGTGCAGACAAGTAAGATTCATAGATAACCGTTAATTACTGTATAACTAGTCGACTTAGAGTAACTATAATATCTTCATGTCTAATTCGTGACATAACATTCAGGAATTGTCAGACAAGTCAGTCTTTAATGATGTGTCAACTAGTCTATCACATCATCACAAGCCAGTCTTTAATGATGTATAAACGAGTCTATCACATCGCCACAAGCCAGTCTTTAATGATGTATAAACTAGTCTATCACATCGCCACAAGACAGTCTTTAGTGATGTAGCAACTAGTCTATCACATCGTCACAAGCCATACTTTTACATATAAACTAGTCTTATCACACCGTATAAATAGTTACAATATTTCTTGTTTTTTTCTACTTTTAGATCTATAGATGTAAATATGACAGATATGGTTTCATACAAACAACTCAAGTACAGAATAATAAAATATTCGTCATTTGTTTTGTTTGAAGTGTGGGTGTTTTCTCTCCTTCCTATTCCCCTTCTTTATTCTAATTAGTTCAATTTCAGTTAGATGTGCATATTATCTAACTGGATTTGTTGAATGTATCTATTCTATATGTAAATCATTAGACTCGCTTTTATTGGATTTATCTTATTGTCTACCGCCTTTCGAAGAAAGCATGGGACTATTAAAATTGGTTCGCCCGCCTGTCTGTCTGTCCATCCATCTGTCTATCTGTCACACTAATTGAGATGGAATGTTCAAACTTGTGTAGATGTTTATCAGGTCAATGCCTTTATGAAGTTCGAAGATGAGCATTTTCTGCTTAGGGTAAGCTGAGATAAGCAATCTGATTGGTTGATGCTTTGGAGCTCAATAACTTTGTTTATAATGAAGTGAGAGTGACGAAACCCCGAGCATAGATTTATTATATCATTTACCTTGACTAAGTTCGATGATGAGAATTTTCTGCTTAGGCAAAGCAGCAATAAGTAATTTGATTGGTCAAGACTTTGGAACGTAACAACTTTGCTTTTAATTGAGGTACAATGTTTAAACTTGGTGTAGATGTTCATTAGGTGCATGTCTTGACTGAGTTCAATGATTAACATTTCCAGCTAAAGTTAAGCTGAGCTAAGCAATTTAATTGGTCGATACTTTGGGACAAGATAACTTTGATTCTATCTGAAAGAGAGTGATGAAATTTAATGCATAGTTGATAATCTGTTTGATTAATTGATACGTTTGAAAAAAATAATCGTGCGATTAATTAATGTGTCATCTATTTATTTTGGGATTTCTGCGGGGGGACATCGGCCTCACTGTTGGCTTGTTTAAATCTGTTTGTTGAAATGATCTTGATTAATAAAACTACATTTATTTAGAAAATATTATCTTAATTAATAAAAAACATATCTTAGTTAATAAAAACATATTAAATTTGTTCTTAATTAATAAAAACACTACCTTAATTTTAAACAAAACTATTTTAATCCTAATAAATAAACAAGATCTTAATTTTAAACAAAACTTTGTTAATTAATAAAAACAAATATCTGCATTATTACAAACTATCTTAATTAATAAAATATTAAGTGCAATTTGATAATCCAATCTAAAAATCTCAGTATGCAATTTCAGTAAAATCGTGTTAGATTAAAGACCGCGTATGATAAGCTGTTACCTGGGTCCTGTTTCTCGAAATATTAACTAAAGATGAAATCCAATTTTATTAGATATTTCAATTTTGATTGGCTAAGCACTAAAATCAATGTAATATTATCCAATCAAATTACAAAAATTTGGAATTTTATCTTAGTTAAAATTTACTGAAACAGGCCCCTGGATATGTACATTATTTAATTTGGTTTGTCGAATTGATATTATTCAATTTTATAAAGATGTTTGAGGGTATCATTCAGTTTCTTGAATAAATTATCTGCATCCGCAATTTTTCTGTTGTTTGTATTGGTGTTATAGAAAATCGCCGAATAGTACAAAGTCATAATCACAGGTGGCTCTGTTTGCATGGGGGGGGGGGGGGTCTGAATATACTTGGACCCCCCCCCCCCCCCAAACAAACAAAAAAAAATTTCAGGCCCAAACTCCTATTTATTTACAACAATTATTAGGATTAATTAAGATTCTATCTGTATAGAACCTGTACATATCCCAATATGGTTTACATTGCTAAATTAAAACACAGAGGGAATCATCCTAGAAACATGTGTGAAGTGAAAATAAACTGTGTTCCATAAAATTGTGTCTAGTTAGCCTGTCATTAATAGTTTGTTATTTTTTTTCTGCCACTTATCAGGGTGAATCGCATGTAGGTACCCAAAACATTATCGCCTAAACCAAATAATTATCGCCCTACACGAGTTGTGTAGACAGCATGGCCACGTGGTGTTTGTTTATATTTTTTAGGAGTTTTAAAAAAGGGTTAGGGGTTAGGGTTGCGGACCCCCCCCCCCCCAATATATATTTCACGGCTACGCCTCTGTCTGTTTGCAACACGAATACTCACAAGAAGTATAGAAAACCACACTTCCAAACAACATTAACAAGTTAATACCATAAGGTATATTTGACCACATGGGTCTTAAAGAGTGGACGGCAGTATTAATATGGTTGTTTGGCGACCCTATGTATACTTGTCATGTGTAAATGGCATAAATAACTGGTAACCCGAAACTAGCCCTAACGAACAATCACGTGCCCTAACCCATCTCGCGACTTTGACGAAATATGCAGTTGACCTAAATATTTAGAACTAGCCCCATGACACGGGTTGAAATATACTCATAACATATTATTCTTAGAGAAAAATATCTAGACCTAAATAGAATTGCATATATTAAAGAAGTATATGTAATCATCAGCATACAGATCACGGCCTTAGGTCAGCTGAAACTAAAGATATGAAATGAAATAGTGAAACCTCCTACCTTTCTACTCCATTCGGGCTAATTTGCCATACAGTGTGCAGTGATGGAAATTTTACCCGTAAAACGGCGCTACAGCCTAAATCTCTTATTGTGAATTACAACTATCAAGGTTTCATTCACCGGGGACCAACGTTTATCGTACCATCTGAACGAATAGGCGCCGTTCCTTGTCCCTGACTTCAAATGGTCATACCTCTGTCAGAACGGCATCAATATTTGGAAAGAACTTAAATATATCTTAGCCAGTTGTTA